TCTTCCCTTCCCTTCCCTTCCCTTCCCTTCCCTTCCCTTCCCTTCCCTTCCCATTTCCTTCCTCCTCTCCTTTCTCCTTTCCCTTCTCCTCTCCTTTTTTCTTTTTCCTTTTTCTCTTTTTTTTTTCTGTTTTTCTATTCTCTCTCCTTGCAGTGCAATACCTCCCTGTGCTCCATGGAAGGAAGAAGCCCGGGAAACCTGGGTGATGGGTGGTGGGTGGTGGACATCCAATCTCACCTTCTGCTCCCAGAGCAGCCAAATGGGTGGAAACTGGGGGCGTCTAGAGACCTTGAAAACGTGGACCCCCACCTCCCGGTGGGGATGGGGCAAGGCGAAAGCCTGGGACAGCCTCCTGTGTGTCTGGGGCAAGAGATCCCCAATGGGGACTGCAGCCATGGGGCCGGTGCCCCGCGGAGGGGCCAGAGCAGGGGACAGCGGAGCAGCTCATGCCATTGGGCAGGCAGCGCAGACAGCGTCGCTAATGAGGCTCTGCTCCAGGGTAGCACCCACCCTCCTGCATGGGCCCCCCAGAGCCTGGGAATCGAAACACCGCATTGAAAATACACTAGAACTGACTGGCTTTTCTTCAGGGCGTGCAGCTGCTGTGGAGAAATGTTGCATATATGTGTGTGTGTGTTTATGCGCACGCATGCTGTAGCTGCTGATGAACGAAGATTTGTCGCAGTCTGTTTGCTCGTCCCTCTCGGGAAGGCTGAGTTTCTGGCACCCTTCTTTGTCCCCACTGCTACTTCCCCAGCTGCTAAAGGCGCCCTCAGCTCCATCTCTCCTCTGACTAGAGAAGTAGTTGAGTAATTCTGTAAAACAGGAAATTTTTGCAATGAGAGGCCTAGAAAAACATCCGCCTCAATTTGTCCAGAAGGTACAAAATACACCAGAGATTTTGTTTTCTGCATTTGACGGTGACCTCAGGCCTCCCAAACGGCTGCAGCTCCTCTGTCCTGGTGCCTGCAGGACAAGGGGCAAGAGAGGGCACGAGTCTCAAACAGCTCCGCACGAGTAGCTTCGTGGCCTTGGGATGGAGAGGAGCCGCGATGCCTGCGGCTTCTCCGCCAGGCACTAGCGCTTCCCCGCAGGGCCCATGGCAGCGGGCACAGGAATTGCTGAGCCCCTTTCCCCAGACTCACCCCCGCGCTGCAGCACATGGCAGCGCGCAGGCAACCCGGGCTCTGGGGCTGGCTAGCACAGCAGATGTGATGTAAATGCAGCACCGTATTGCCTGCAAGCTGTGACGTGCCTTCTAGTATTTATATAACATTGTTTTGCTTTAATCTGGCTTTTTAAGTAAATTGTCAAAGCCCTGTCTGTTCACTAGAAGTCCTTTCTTTTCT